CCCGCCGACTGACAGCCGGGACGCCCCCCGGCTGCACTCACACCCGTTAGCAGGCTCCCTCCGCCTTCCTCGCTGCTCACACGGCTTGTCCCCGAACATGTACACACACTTGGAATACTTATAAAGACAGTGTTTATTAAAATGATTTCATTTTCAAAAATGAGCTATCAGCTGTTAAAGTGTGTGTACATTTGGGGGGACACCTTGTATTTGTGTGTCTGGTTTTTTAATTTTTCTTTGAACTGATTTTAATACTTAACTAGTTCCTTGATTAATAATTTAAAAATATTTGACACGTGTCCATTTTATAATTGTAAAAGACTAATGAGATTACCTTTTCATTACACTTACGTAACAATTGATGGAATTCACAAGAATTCTTGAAACCCACCGCAAATTCTACCAGAACTTGGAAAGAATGCATGAGGACAGGAGGCAGTGTGGGGTCTGCTGCCCAGCTCACTGAGCTTTGTCCTATCACTTAACCCTTGAGCCTGTGTAAAAAGTTGGAAGAAACCACCTAGTGGAATTATGAGGCTTTAAAACAATGTGTGTAAACTGATTGGCTTTGTTACACAGTAACTTTTATTCCTTGTTTAAAGCTCCTGTTTAGAAGCCAGTTAGATAGAGGTCACTGGTTCATTTAACAGTTTTTGAAACATACATATTCTGTGATAAGATGATGCTAAGAAATTTCTAATGAAAGTTTTAACATTAGGGTAGAGTCACAAAATTAGATGTTTGTTTTAGTTACACAGCTACTGTGAAGAATGGATGGCCTGGTAGGACAGTTTATAAACTGTTCCCATATTATAGTGACAGCGGTTGTGGAGAACACTGGATGCAGGTTAGAGCCGTTCCGAGGTCAGGTTGCTAGGACCTGGGGACAGACTGGTAAATGATAACATAATGGTTAAGTACTATTGAGGGTGTGCTCTGTAGCAGCTTGAAGTGCTGTGTGTACATTATTTTGATTGATCATCACAAAACCCTATTCAGTATGGTTTTTATCCACATTATTTATATAGCCGATAGAGAGATGAGGTAACTTGCTCAGAATCCTAGTAAATGGCTAGTAAATGGCTTGTCTGATTAACTCAGTGGAACATGGGTCCTTAGATAAGAGGAGGACAGTGAGAAGAACAGGCTGGCAGGAAAGACAGTGACTTGGAATTAATGAAGTGAGGACACCTGCGTGTTACCAGGGGGTAATGAGAAAGTAGACTGATGACCAAGGAGGTGAGGCTGTGTAACTCTGGTCTTCCCTGGCCGTTGTGTAGGGAAGCTAAGTTGTACCAGGCCTTGTTGGCTTCTTTTTAGTCCATATCTTTCTCTAAAATAAAGGTATACTTGTTTACCTACAGAGTATACCTTTTCAGTCATAATTGCAGACGTGCATTGTGCACCCAGGCAAGAGTTTCTGACTTAATTCTCCAAGCCCCCCAAATAATTCTTAGGCGAAGGGATGAAGGAGATTCTCAGGGCCGAGAGAGGGGGAGGACAGGAAGAGCCTGGTTTCTGGGAGAATTGTGACTTTCGGTGCTTGCAGAGCTGTTGCTGCTTCCTCGGGCGGTGCCTTTGCCAGGCAGAGGAATTGAAGGCTGGTGGTCTGCTCTTTGTAATTTCTAGTTTATTCAGAAAGGAGAGTTAGCAGTGATCCTGCTATAGTGATAACCATAAACTACATTTCAATTTTATTTATAATCCTACTTCCTTACAAAAGAACTTGAAATGCTTAACACTTCACAGTTTGTAAGATCCTTTAAAATACATTATTTAATTATTCAACAAATGTATAGGTTGTAATCAAGCTCCATCCCAGCCCTGATAGTGTTTACATTCTGTGTGTAGACAGACAAAAATAAAGTTCCAGGAGGTGATAAGAGGAGACAGGATCAAAAGTGGCTGAGGGGGTATGTAGGGTTAAGGTTAGCAGGGAGAGAATATATTAGATTGGGTCAAAGAGAAAGCCTCCAAGCAAGTGATGTTTGCAGGGACCTGAATGAACCAGGAGGTAATCCCTATCGATGTAAAGGCCTTGAGGTGGGAATGGTCTTGGCTTAAGGAACAGAATGACGGCATGTCCTGGTTGCAGTGAGCCTGCTGGAAACATTTGTAAGGGATGAAGTTAGGGAGACATTCCCAGGCCAGATGGAAGAGGGCCCTGTAGGCCACTGTAAGGACTTTGAATTTTGTTCTGACTGTGATGAATCCTTGGAGGATTGTGTACAAGAGGTTGGCATGCTGTGCTTTACGAACTGAAATGCTCATTCTGGCTGTTGCCTGGTGAGTTGATGCTAATGGAAGAAGGGAGAAGCAGGCCTTTGTTAGGGTGCCCCACTGTAGTTCAGGCAGAGCACAGTGCTGGCTTGGACCTGGTGGTTGTGATGCTGATGAATTGTCTGTTTGGTGTGAGGAAAAGGAGAGGACAGTTCAAGACCTTTGTCCTCTCTGCAGTTCTGTAATTGGTGTTTTCTGAGATGTGGGAAACCAGACAAAAAATAAGTTTGTTAAAGTTTGATAGTTTAGCCTGGCTGACCTGGCTCAGTGATTGAGCATCGACCCATGGACCAGGTGGTTACAGTTCAGTTCTGGTGGTCTGGGCACATGCCCAGGTTTCAAGCTCCATACCCAGTAGGGGGCGAGCAGGAGGCAGCCTATCAGTTATTCTCACATCATTGATGTTTCTATCTCCCTTCCTCTCTCTGAAATCAATAAAAATTTATAGCTTAATTTTTCCCATTTTAAACTGGAGATATAGTTCAGATAAACAAGTAGAAATGTCACATAGAAAGGTGAACATTAGAATGGGGAGCTAAGGTGTCAGCTTAGAGCAAAGCAGCTTAAAGTCGGTGACCCCTCTGAAAGGGTGCATGTGGGTTCGAAGGGAGCCCAGGACTGAACGGGGTGCCAGGCAGCACATCATGGTGGAGCGAGGGGTGGGGGGTGGGGGTGGGAACCATC